TGAGAGTGGGAGCAGTAAGATGGGGAGGAGACCACTGTGACCCCCAGATGGGCTGTGAAAGCAGCCTGGCCCCCACCTAAAGTCGTGGGAGTGGGGGAGAGAGACATGGGGCACACAGGGACATCCTAAAGGGAGCAGACTTGGTGACTGACTGGACGTGGTGTCAGGGAGGGCAGCATTCCAGCTGACTTCAGGATACCAACTGTCCCCAACTTGGGGTAAGGCATTTCCCAGGACATGGGATGGCAGTGCAAAGCCAGAGACAGTGCTGGGCGAGCCAGGATGAGCGGTCACTAGCTGCCTCCCAGGTGTCTGGTTGGGGCAGCTTGTGGGTGGTGAGACCTGGAAAATGCGGAGCAGACGCAGTGGCGTGGGAAAGCGATGCGTTGAGTTTTAGGCGCGAGGTGACCATTCCAAGATGGAGACATCCTGCAGGCAGTTGGCAGAAACTCAGGGCTCAGGAGAGAGGTGAAGGTGCAGACAGGGACTGAGGAGACATCACCATGCAGGAGGACACAAGTTCACTCAGTGCATGGGGTCCTCCTCAAAGAGGAACATCCTTTGCTTATTGCAAACCTCAGGGACCATCCTTTCCTGCAGACTCAGATCTTCCTGAGTCTCTGCTAAAGACCCAGAGAAGAGGGCTGGTGCTGTACAGGGCGGACTACAAGTGCTGGGGTAGACCCCAAAGGTCCCCATCGACACCCGTGCCAGTGGTGAATAAACTCACCTGCCTGGCCAATCTTAGGGATTTTTTTTTGGTTTTGTTATGTGACTACCTTCGGTTGTATTCCTTTTCACCACGCAGCATTACAAAAATACACATATGTCTAAACAGGCTTGCAAAAACTGTCATCTTGGATGACTAATGGTTTCTACTAGACAGGGAGTAACACTGAACACATTTCTCAAGCTGCTATCTATGTCCTAGGAGATTCTTATGTTTTAGAGGATGGGCCCGACTGTTGTAGTTTTAAAAATTAATCTGGTTGCATACCTACCATTATGTGTTGATATTTTATGGAATCATACCAGTTTTTTAAAAAAGATTTTTGTTAGAGGAAATATTTTCCTATAACTCTCGGAGCACAGAATATAAAAACATGTAATAAATAACAGTCTATGAAAAAGAAGCACCTGACAAATAAAAATGGCCTGAATGATCACTATGAGTCCTTTCTGTAATTTATTAAGTCTTTGAAGATATATTAAATCATTAATGAAGCAGAAACGGAACATTTCTTAATCTCCCATCATTCAAATGGGATGAAATTTTCCCCCCAAAAGGCTTAAGAGGTAAATAGCTACTTTTTGTTTTTCTGGAAATTCCATTTTAGTACAGCCTTGGGCTCATCCTAGAGTAAAAATAAAAATCCACTCAGCCCAAGGTCCTAAGTAACTTTCTGTGAAGATCTACTGCAGTGGTTCTCAACCTTCCTAATGCCGCGACACTTTAATACAGTTCCACATGTTGTGGTGACCCCCAACCATAAAATTGTTTTTGTTGCTACTTCATAACTGTAATTTTGCTACTGTTATGTCTTAGGCAACCCCTGTGAAAGGGCTGTTGGATCCCCAAAGGGGTCGCAACCCACAGGGTGAGAACCGCTGATCTACTGGTTCCAGTTGGGGGACCACTTGGCATGGTGGGAAGCTACCTCCTGCCAATTCTATCAATTTTGGATAAAGGCATCTGATGATGATACTTCTGGGGTTGAAAGGGGGCTAAAATATTCGTGTCTAAGAGTGTGTGTGGCCTATTCCAACTCTCTGAGACCAAACGTCAATCATTAGTCTATAGACTACGGACAGTGACAAGGATGTGAATTCCAGATGGAGAGTCTCTCCTTTCTACCGGCATGTGGCTTAAAAAAATGCCCAAAAGGCAATAGATCAAGGTTGGGTTTTATTGTTTGTTTGTGTTTTTTTCACCATTTCATTTGTATTTTCTTGAATATTTGACACTGAGTACAAAAATCATGTACTCTGATAGTGTGGTCTTCAGAGAGCCCAATCCAGAAATTCAATGTTATGTTATTGCCTTTCATTAAGATGAGCAAAGATGATATTTTCTCAAAAGTTTGGTGTGTTTTTTTTTTTTCCATTTTAAAATCATTCTAAATTACTTCCACTTATCCTATAACAAACAAAAGCCTGTTCTTTAAATTGTGAGACTCAAGAGATAAACCACAGAACTTACATGCATGTACGCATAACCAACAGACATAGACAACAAAGCTGGGGATGGGGCAGGGGGGATGGGGAGGAGGTTGTCAATGGAGGAAAAAGAGAAACATCTGTAACAAAAACAAATTAATAGAAATAATTTTGAAAAAATTGTGAGACTCAACCTTAAATCTTTTGTACCTTAAACCTTCCAAATGATTAAGAATGTTAATACTCCCTAACTTTTCTTTTTCCACTTTAAGCTTTGTACGTATTTACAATCTAATCATTGGGGGTGGGGGTGGGGATCCTATCAAGATATAGTATCCATTGATAAGGAATACACTATAGTACAGGTATCACTCGCTTTTCTCAAGTTCTGTTGTTCTGTGGCACTTTTTTTTTAATTTAATTTTTTTTACAGATGTTTCTCCTTTTTTACCCCATTGACACCCTCTTCCCCATCCCCCCCATCCCTAGCTTTGTTGTCCATATCCATTGGTCATGCATACATGCATATAAGTTCTGTGGTTTATCTCTTCCTTCCCCCCACCCCCTCTTCTGAGGGTTGTCAGTCTATACCCTACTTCCATGATTCTGGGTCTACCCTATTCCTCAGACTGTTATGTTCATTATATTCCATAAATAAGTGAGATCATGTGGTATTTGTCTTTTCCTGTTTGCCTTGTTTTGTTTAAGATAATGCTTTCCAGGTCCCTCCATGTCATCTCAAAGGATAAGAGATCTTTCTTTCTTACAGCTGCATAGTACTCCAGTGTGTATATGTACCACTGCTTTTTTATCCATTCATCTTCTGATGGACACTTGGGCTGTTTCCAGATCTTAGCTATTGTAAATAGTGCTGCTATGAACATGGGGGTACATATATTCTTTCTGATTTGTGTTTCAGGCTTCTTAGGGTATATTCCTAGAAGTGGGATCACTGGGTCAAATGGAAGTGCAATTTTTAACTTTTTGAGGTAACACCATATTGTTTTCCACAGTGGCTGCACCATTCTGCATTCCCACCAGCAGTGTACTAGAGTCCCCTTTTCTCCACACCCTCACCAGCACTTGTTTGTGGCACTGCTTTTACAAAAGACCTACGTAGGCCTGTTTTCACTGAAAGAAATCCAAAGAGGACTTTTGCTTTTGCAGAAAAGAGCAGAAAGCAAACCCAGCGTCCAGCATTTGCTTTGCAGGGAGCCCTGGCAGAGGCAGGGTGCACCCCGAGTGGGACTGCCTTTACTACACGTCAGTGTTATTTTAGATTGTGTGTGCTCTTTGGTATGATTTGGTAGGTTATTTTTGGGGTCTGAAAATGCTAAAAAAATTTCCATATAAATTAATAAGAATTGTTTCTTTGCTTTAGGCCATTTCGGCTTATAAAAGGTTTATGGGAACATTCTACTTTTGGATGGGGGAGGGGCTGTATTTTTATTGGCCTTACTTTGAGGGCAGAGATATTATAATCTTTTATTTTTTGCCCTTTACTGGGGAAGCATAGCTCCATAGAAACATCACTGATAGAGACATTGATTTTTCTTCTAATCTATTTATACATTCCATCTACAAAGACGCCTCCTCTGTGTGAGGTTTTACGACAATCACCTACCTCCTCAAATGAAGGAGCATGGTCCTTTAAGAGAGGGTTATTTTGCCCTGGTCGGCTTGGCTCAGTGGTTAGAGCATCGGCCCACGGACCAACGAGACCCAGGTTTGACTCTGGCCAAGGGCACGTACCTCGGTTGCGGTTCGTCCTCTGGTCGGGGTTGCACAGGAGGCAGCCAGTCAATGCATCTCTCTCTCTCCCTCCCTCCCTCCTAATCTGTCTAAAGATAAATGGAAAAATGTCCTCAGGTGAGGATAAAAAAAAAAAAAAAAAGAGGGTTATTTTGATTTTTCTCAACCCATTATACAGATTGGCTACAATGGCAGAAATAAGATAACACAGCCTTTAGAAATTACATTCACTCACCAGGCTCTACTTGATAACAGAGCCGGACTGGGTGCTTCCCTCTGGGCCATTTCCCACCATTCCAAACCTCTCTCTCATCCCTGGGGGTGTCTCCCGAGTCAGAGAAGACACCAAGCAGGAGCCCTTAGGAAGTTACTGCTTCATTGGAGTCTACAGGAGCACCTGCCAAGAGGATTCTCGGAAAGAACATAATTAGCCTAAAGAAATGTAACTTAACAAGAGAGTGTTGGTTACAGTGGCGAAGACACTTTGAGGCTAGAAGCCGTGCCTTTCAGAATGTACCCCATCTGCTTTGCCTTTAGGGGGTGAGACCAGCCCTCACAATCACAGCCGGACATCCCAGCATCAGAGATTTCTGTGCAGTTTTTAAACTTCGCTGGAATTCAGCAGCATTATAACGTGATCCCGTGAAAATGTCACTGGTTTTGAAATGTTAAAAATAAAAGCTGATGCGTCCCTGCATCTTGGACATCCTTCCTGTGTAATGCCGAGGCTTGGACACTTATGCTATCGACTGCCACCAGGAATTCTTGGCCTCGCAGTGACAATTCTCCTGGTGACAGTGGCCATAAATAACGACGCAGTTCAAGGACTTCATCTGGGCCTCAGATGACTCACACTACACCACAGAAGGCTTGAATTTTCCACTTACCATCCCTCGACTTGCTCTTTATTTAAGTAGGATAAAATGACTTGGAGTCTTTGGTTGTTATTACTGTGTCCTCCGATCATTTATCTTAATACACTTGTTGGCTTCTAGATGCAAGGTCATCTTAGACATACTTTCTAAATGTTAAAGCAACTTCAAAAAATATTACTTTTAAAATTCAGGTTCTAGAATCAAACCAAACCTTACCCGTGCCAGGCAGTCACTTGACTGGAAGTCCGTCTTCCCAGGTTTTGAGAAGTGGCATTTGTCATTGCTTGGGGCCAGAGCGGTGTCTGTCTTTGGAACGCTATGCTCTGTCCCTGTGTCCACTTCTGACCTGTCTAGATGGGATCCGGCCACCTCCTTGAGAGAATCGGGGCCATTTTCTAGCTCAAAGGCATGGCCATTTCCAAGTTCAGGGTCTGGGCCACTGTCCAGCTCAGAGGTGGGGCCGGTACTGCTCTTGGATTCTTCGGTGGCCTTGTGGGTAGAAGGCCTGGAAATGACTCCAAACTTCCTTGTCCTTTTCCCCTTCTTCACAGTTCGGTCACCCAGCTCCAAGGTGGGTGTCTCTCCTGGTTCTGAGCTGTTGCTACTGTTGCCATTGTAAGGAGACTGGACTTTGTGCTTGAAGCGCCGCAGCATGATCAGGTAGATGAAGCCGCCATTCCAGCACTGCTCAGCCAGGTAACTGCAACGACAGGAAGGGGAGGTCAGAGCCCGCCAACGCCCCCTGGCGCCCCGCAGCGGGCTGGCGCCTCCAGCGTCCACACAGGGCCCGTGCGCTTAAAACCCGGCCGACAGGTCGAGGTACTGAGCTCCCTGAAGAGACTTAACACTCGTTTCATTCTTTTAATCTATAGAACGGTGGATGCTAAAAATGACTCCAAAACACAGCAGAAAAACCAAATGAAGTAGAACTTCCTAATGAAAGTACCCCAGGAGCGGGAATCAGAGAAGGATTTTCCTATTAACACAGCCAACCCTAACATACCATTACAAAAAATCCTCCACTCAGCGATTTCTTGCATCCGATTCCTCCAGCCTCCCATTCACACAGTTCTGATGCCGGAACAAGCCCTCGGGGCAAACAGAGTCTGACATAGATTGGGGGAAATGTCAACTGCTCTTAGGATCAAAAAACCAACCACCACAACAAAGGAGCCTCTGCCACAGCAGTTCAAGTGAAGAAACACGGGGGGTGGATGGCGCTGGCTGGTCTCAGGACGTAACTGGTCATGAGCGTGGAATGAGCACTGGCCTGTTTGTTGGTGACGGTTCCAGTCTGCGCTGCTCACAGCACACGCGGAGTGTCCCTTCCAGTCTGGGCATCACGTTAAGAGGAACCCTGACTCGCCCTGGCCGGTTTGGCTGAGCGGTGAGCGTGCTGCTGGCCTGCGGACCAGCGTCTTGGGCTCGATTCCGGTCAAGGGCATGCACCTTGGTTGTAGTTCAGTCCCCGGCCCTGGTCGGGGTCGTGAGAGAGGCAACCAATCAATGTGTCTCACATCAATGTTTCTCTCTCTCTCTTTCCCTCCCACTCTATCTGAAGATAAATGGAAAAGTATCCTTGGGTGAGGATTAAAAAGAAAGCAACGTTGACAAAGTGGAACACACACACATACTACGGTGACCAGGACAGAAAGGCTGTGCGAGCTGTGTGAACCGGGAGTACTGGGGGGAAAGGACCCCTAGTTTGAAGAAAACAAGGGCCAGGCTCAGTTGCTTTTCCATGTATTTCAGGGTTGCCAAACACTGCGAAGCAGGAAATGATAGAAATGAGATAACGCATGTGAAGCAGACTCACAACCCTACTGCAGATCCCAAAGAATAACAAGAAAATAGAGCATCCGATGAGATGGGTCATTAGTGGTGATCACACCAGATCATTAAAGCTTTAGCAAAGAAAACACATGCTCCAAGTCAGGAAACCAGGCTGGGCTGGACCCTCCACCCGTGCCACCCAAGATAAGGAAGCACGAACCCCAGATGAACCCGGGGCCTTGCCTCCCCCCTGGAGCCCTGCCACCTCCTACACATCACCGGTTCCCAAGCAAACAATGTCAGCCGCCGCCTCCGTAACAAGTCAGACCTGCTGCTGGTCTTCCTGCGCCCACCAAGAGGAGGGCTTCGTCTTCCGTAGGTGAAAACCAGCACTGTTCTAAGTATACCACGCTAGCTCCGCTCCCTCCAGGCCTCAAAACCAGAGCTGAGGGCTGAGGCGGTCAGTCTATGGGAAGGGGGCCAGGTCGTAAGGAGAGGCGACCAGCTGTGTCTAAAATGTACTAAGTTCAGGGCAAAGACACATCCCCATGGCGAATGCAACGACAGTGACTGTCTGCACAAAGAAGAGAATGGTTCTGAGTTTGCCATGGAGCAAAGTGAGTAGCACAGAGCAGTCATTAAACATCAGCCACAGCCAATAAAACTCCCTTTTGACCCTGGGCTGTAAACCATGGAAATGAACTCACACAAAACCCAGGTCAATGAAAGATACCGTACAAGACTCAGGTTGTCCTGTGAAGTAAAGGGGGATGAAGAGGAATGAAGACCATTCCGCTGGAGTATAGAAATAAAAATTAAGCTTGGCTTTCGGCATAATTTTTCTACAACGTTAAGATCAGTGGTTCTCAACCTCCCTAATACCAGGACCCTTTAATATAATTCCTCATGTGTGGTGATCCCCAACCATAAAATTATTTTTGTTGCTACTTCATAACTGTAATTTTGCTACTGTTATGTCTTAGGCGACCCCTGTGAAAGGGTCGTTCAACCCCCAAAGGGGTTGTGACCCACAGGTTGAGAAGCGCTGGTTTAGATAATATTTCCTTGAATTGCTGTGGTTTCTTTTTGTCATACTAGAAAAATTCTTGTAAAGGTGTAAAATCCTAACAGTGGTTACCCAGGATGTAAGGGTTTCAAACCGCTACTATGAATACAATGCATGTACGCCGAGGTCATGGAAGACAGTGTGCAGTAGTGAACACAGGGCCAGGCTGAGAGTCAGCACCCCAAGTCCCGCCTTTGGCTCAGCCGTGTAAAACAATGGTATTTACCCAAGTGTCCGTCAGTGAATGAACACACACACAAAATGTAGTACATCCGTATTATTTGGTGATAAAAAGGAAGAAGTATATGCTACTGCTTAGGTAAAGCTTGGAAACATGCTACGTGAAAGACGCCAGACCAACGACACGATCCCGCTACTAGTCCACGTCCAGGACAGGCAAGTCCACAGAGAAGGGAAGCAGACCAGGGCTGCCAGAAACTAGGGGGAGGGGAAACTGGGACGGACTGCTCACAGGCACAGGGTTTTCTGGGGGTGGTGGAAACGTTCTGGACTTAGATAGTGGTGATGACTACACGACTTAGTGACTATTCATTCCCACTTCAAAATGGTGAGTTTTATGTTACGTAAATTGTCTCAATTAAAAAAATAATAGCAAATCAAATAGTACTGGCCAAGTTTTGATTGCATTTTTTTGAGCAGGTAATCCCTAAGAACCATGTACAGAAGAAGAAACTGAGGCTCAGAAACACTGACTCACTTGCCCATGCTCACATAACTGCCAAGTGGGAGACGGAGGTGTGTGTGATTCCCAAGCCTGTGCTTGTTTACGGTGCGTTCTACTTCAATTACTATCTTCCCAGCACCTGCCCGTAGTTTCCTCAGCCGTAAAATGAGGTTTAAAATGGGTCATCTAGTTTCCATATTAAAAAAAAATGTTTTTATTGCTTTTCAGAGAGAGAGAAAGAGAGAAACATCGATCGACTACCTCCTGCATGCCAGGGAATTGAACCAGTGACCTCTCAGTCCGTGGTGTGATGCTCAACCAACTGAGCCACAACAGCCAGGGCACCTTCAGATTCTAATAATTGTGGATGCTGCCGACCCAGGAAGGGTTCTAGGGGTTAGAGGAGCCAGCCATCCCAACAACGCTGTCCAGTGCCAAGGATAAAACATCACCCTGTGAAATAGAAACATTCCCTTTAGGTCCAAGTTGTCTTAGGTCTGTGGACATTTCCCCACAACCTGAAAAAGATTTCACCTGCAGGGGCAATTCCTTTACGATTGTTGTTGGGACTCGACCTTTTGCACTAAAACTCTGAACAACTAGATGGGGTGTATGCAGGGATCTTCTTTTCAGTATCCAAAGGCTGGCCCATTGATTCAGAATAGAGGCTCCTGAACATCCTTCCCATCTCTACTCTCACGGAAGTGCCAAGAATCGCGGAAGGTTCCGCGACTCTTTTGTTCCTTCTGCAGAGTCCACTCAGCAAAATTACAAAGAAGAGGAGTTTATCTTCAGTCCGGCACCATCTCCCTGTCCTCTCCTGACTTCCTAGCGATAAATAAGACCCTGACACCAGCAGGGAACTCTATGACAGGCTATTTTATTCCTTCCTGGACACAGAATTGTCTAAGGTCACCCCAAAGACAAAGAGTAGTGAATGAATTATGGACCTCTAGCAAGTTGGTGAGAAAGAGACTTTTAGGCAGAGGGTAATTTTCTTACAAGTCTTTGAATCACCTTAAAAGTAATGCCCCCACAGTCCCCACATCCCATCTGTATTGAATGCATATCCCAACGTTTCCAGCTCCTTCCTGGCTAATTCATTCTTTCAAATCCCCTTTTCTGTTCAGGAGGATTCTGATCCGCCGTTAGAATCTGTAAACTTCAAAGTCAACCTTTGAGAAAGAAGAAATGGAGCACAACCACATGACTTAGACAAATAAAAGGTCTCCTTGTTCATGATCAATGGGTAAAACTAGAAGCTCTTCTACTATATGGTTATTCTTTGGTTTCTTCCAAAAATTTGAACCTGTCCTCTGGCATATAAAATTATTAACTCAATTAAAATGTATCTGATGCCCTGGCCGGTTTGGCTCAGCGGTTAGAGCGTCGGCCTGCGGTCCAGAGAGACCTGGGTTCGGTTCCCACTAAGGGCAGGTACCTCGGTTGCAGTTTGTCCCCGGCCCTGGTTGGTCGTGCGGGTGGCAGCCACACGATGTGTCCCTTTCACGTCAATGTTTCTCTCTCTCTCTCCCTCTCTCTCCCTCCCACTCTATCTGAACAAAAAATGGAAAAATGTCCTCGGGTGAGAATAAAAAAAAAAATGTATTTAATTTTGACCATTCCAGGATGGCCTTAAGATACAGGAGGAAAGACTAGCATATCCAGAAATGAGGTTCTGAATTCTAGCTTAGAACCCTCCCTCTGACGTGTGTGTGGGTCTGCATTTCACTTGGCCTTTGCAGGCATCTTTTTAGAACAGATCCCTTCTTCCTTCTTTTCCCTCGGAAACTGCTCTATGCAAAGAAAGTTTTGAGTACCTCCTCTGTTTTTCCATGCTCTGTCATAATTCGGGAGTCTGGGCTCTCTGGGGGTTGGCGGGTGAGGCTGGGTGCTTAGATGCTGAAGTCTCAAAGTTGAAGAACAAGAAAATGGGGAGGTAGGAGATAGAGAGGGGCAAAGACAGGGAGGTATTGGAAGGCCAAAGACACACATTATTTATCCATGCCCTGATTCCATCAAAAGAGGGCTGAGGGAGCTATATAAGTTTGATATCCCAGACTGTTTTTCCCAAGCCCTTGGAAGAAGCAATCTCCAGGTGCCTTTGAAAGTCATCTTGGGCATTCGGCCATCCATTACTGATGCCTGGCACACAGTGTGAACCCACAAAGAGGTG